CTTCTGATCAGCATGCGGTTATCCTTATTCAAGATTCAGCCTAGTTTTTTTTAACTTACTAATATAGACTAAAAATTCAGTAACAATTTGCTAAAAACCATAGTATACCTTTTTCAGATATGCCCTGTGACAAAGATGTGTAGATAACCCCGCAAAAAAAAAAAGACAAAGATTCTTGTACCGCATCATCATCTGAACCGGGACAAATGGCCCTTATGAATCTGGATATATGTCTAGATTGGAAATTACCATCACGCTGGGGGTTAGCAAGTGGGCCCTGTGCACACTAATAAAATTTACAATCAACTGCTCTAATTTGATGCGGCGCCATTCTCCGTTTTAAAATTACCATCAGACAACGTTGGCATGCACATTGCCTAGCTAAAATGGCCTGCCAGCGAAAGTGTACCACAAAGGACCATGCTTCCCAAAAGCTATGCCTCAGGCTGAGTAGGATAGTAGCTTCCACAGTGCCTTTAATTTTTCTGCATGTGCTAGCTAGCATCGACCTAGACATTTCTTGCTAGCGCCTTTTTAAACCTCTTTGTGTCCTTTCTTTTCCCTTTTAATGATTTATTTTTATAAAGATCCATGTTAATGTGAAGTTGATACTCACTCCATTCCAATGAATAAGGCACACATGCATTTTAAAATTTTACTTTGACAATAAATTAAACCTACCATTGCATTCATAGTCGAGAGAACTTTCCAATGATATAATATGTAAGTCACATAAATATATATATTATTGGTCTAATTTATGGTGGTGTTAGCTCGGAAAGCGGGTTGAGGGGGATAACAATGCGACGTGCTGACATTGAGAACTAGTTGGTATATTTGAGGATGGACATGCCAAACTATCTACTATTATAAATTCCCATAGCAAAAAAACCTCACCGTTTATCTCGTGGACCAAATTAGATGAACAAATCACAATCAATAGATCTTCATAACTCCCCTAAGCTCTTTCCATGGTGTTTGCAGAACAACACAAAGTCAAAATCTTCTTATGTTGCGCCCCTCACCCTACTTTCCAAGCTAACACCACCATACCTCACAATCTCGACAATGCCAGACACGAACTAGAGACCCATGCACATGCTCAAACGCTCAGCAACACGCTCGAATACCTACATGGATTGGTGAAGTTCGGGAGTCTATTCTCTAGGCCAAGGGATCTATGGAACCATATGGCCAAATGGCCAATGCTAGCGCCCGATCACTATTGTAATACTCTAACCGCATTGCTAGGCAAGCACACGGCACGAAATCTCCGACCCCATCCACGGTATACCTACCTTAGAGACACTCCTTACGTGCTATTCACCACGCCAACGAACCATGTGTAGTGGCAATGCAAACCTAACAACAAACTCCCCCGTGCTAGACCGAGACTACGACCAACATCTACTATGCTCACGGTGTTTAAACTGACTAGTCAATGTTGCCGAGAAATGGCCCAGCCAGCGATTCTCCGTGCCGCCGAGGCAAAGAACGCTAGATCCCCTGATCCAAAGATGAAAAAAAGACATCGCCCCATCGACTGCACGGGTTTTGCCTTATAGTGTCGTCCCGTGGAGGTGGTGAGAACAAAAGCGCCGGGGGAGGGGCTGGAGGGCGAGGTTAGGGGTGTCGCCCAATGAACCCCTAACATCGCCATCGAACATCCGTATGCATGAAAACGGCTGGACAATTTGGCAAAGACTATGAGAAGCACATTGATGATGACCGCGTGATATTCTATACGTCATTCCGACTTGATGATCAAATGAGTGGCGTATCTCACATGATGATAGGCAGTCCATCACGCAATTATGCTTTACCGCACGCATGGGTGCTTTTTGAGTGGCCTGATGATGCGTACATGGATTGGGATGTCAGGTGCAGTAGTGTAACTGTGTGTATCCTTGGAGAATCATTGGTTCCGACTATTCACTACGTACATCACGTCAAAGCTGAACTTGTTTCCTGGATGGATGGATGGATGAATATTCCCTTTCATTTACGGCTCTGGCCGTGCAGCATCCATCAATACCCCAGTTCTGAACATTAAAAATGAACAAGTTAGGAAAAGAAATGTGAAGAAAAACTCCATTTCTATGGGGTGGATGAACAGACAAGATCACGCAAAACTCACGCTCGATGGGCAGGGCTAGATCCCAACGGCTGCTAGCTACTCCTACTAGGCGGCTAGGCCCGAATGCCCGATAGCGTGTGGGAGGCGACGGAGGGATCGAACAGCTAGCCTAGCCTAGCATAGCATAGCATAGCCACGCGCGCACATACATGGCGTGCCAATCTGGACGCGCATATGGGTGACGCTGGCCTTTAGATTGTGGCTCGCGTTGCCTAGCTAGCTCACTCACTCACCCCGTGTTGGTCGTTGGAGAAAAAAAACACACAGAAAAAATCGTGGGCAGCTGAGACAGAGAGAGAGGAGAGGAGAGGCCAGCGTAGCGCCCACCACCCTGCCACCATGCGCGCGCGGGCGGACGGGCGGGCGTACGTCGTCGTGTGCCTGCCTGCCTGCATGTGGGCTCGCCCGCTGGATCCAGCCAGCCCACGCCGACGCCGTGGATCGATCCCTCCCTCCCGGCAGTCGATCCCGTCCCCGTCCCCGTCCCCCCGCAACCACCCCGTGCGTTTCACGCCAAGCTGCGGGCATCGCGCTGGCATAATGCTCGCCCATGTAGTAGCTTCAGTGAGCGCCCGGGCGCGGGCTATACATGCATAGGCACGCGGAGATGGACGGGCGGATGGGCACGCACGCACCGCAGCAGGGAGAGGGAGAGGGAGAGGTGGTGGGCTGCGGGCCCCGCGCACAGCGAGACGTGCAGCGGACATGGCTGCTCCGGCGAGGGGAGGCGGGCCCCGCCATTTCCCCTGCTCCCTGCCCAGCTCGCGCGACTGCTAGTGCGGGCCGGGTGGCCCTGCCGCTAGTTGGCCTTTGCGGGGAGGCCAGCCAGCACATGGCCGTGTTAGTTAGGAGAGATCCCCTCCCCTCCCTTCCCTTCCCCTTGGACCCTTCCATATTCCCTACCTCTCATGGCCGTGCCGTGCCCTGGTTGAAGCCTCGCACTTTTCCTCTGGTTTTGTTTAGTATCCCTCCACGATCCCGCCACTCGCGTATGGTTACATGCCCGTCGGTGCATGGCATGTATGCCCTGGCTCGTACATGCCACGTACGTACACGAAGCCAAGTTCATTCCACCTAAACTGCACGAGTTGTATGAGGAATTATCCCACGGTACATAGCGCTTTGAGATGGACAAAAAAAGGAGGCACGCGACATGGGTTGGTTGGCATGGTACAGGGATGTTCATATACAACACTTGTGCACATACATAGCCAGCGACTCGCATTTTTCTATTCGTCCAGAACTGGCAACTTGATGCATATGCTAAGCATATTTTTGGGTTTTTTGCATGGTGGTGGGTGTGTACACCGAGCCGTTTGGAACCTTCTCGCGCTCCCACTCTCACGTGCCAGCCACATATGCTCCCTGCATGCATGTTCTTCGCCCCCTCCCCCGCCTATTTTCTATGCGACCCACTTGGACCCTTCCACTACCGATTATTCTGCTGTATTTTCCACATGGCCGGGAGCTAGCTAGCTAGGCGGCGCGGTTGTTACCCGTGAGAACACCGCTGCGCCAGTGACAAACGGTGGAATGTTTCAGGGTTATAAATAATTAATCCAAAGTATCCGCCTCGATCGCGTTACCAAACCATATCGTTAGCCGTTGCATCATCTGATTGTTAAGAGGTAGTTGTCGATACGCAGATTTGCTTGCGTTGCAGTCGGCGGGTTTCTTCGTTGCTCGCGCTGAGCAGCTCGGTTTTCTTGTGTGTACATGATCTCCGTCAGCATTCGGCGCTCATTTTTTTTTGCGATGATTTTTTTTTATTTATAGGAACGGCGCTCAAATTCTCAACATTTGGTTTGTAGGAATGGCGCTCAAATTTTATAGGAACGGCGCTCAATTTTATAGGAATGGCGCTCAAATTTTATAGGAACGGCGCTCAAAATTTATTTTATTTATAGGAACGGCGCCGTTTGATTTGTAGGAATGGAATCCTGTTCCTATGAAGGAATTCTTCCTATCTTCCATATTTCATAGAAAAATAAACATTAGCCTAGACTCAATGAAAAAAATCCTATGAGATGAATCGAAGGGCATCTCCTTTCCTACTCTTATTCATAGGATTTAAGATACATGTCATCTTATTTTCCATGACTTTCTTATTCCTA